GCCCCCAATATGGATGATTTTTAATTCAAACACCACATCCAGTTTCTGCAGTAGTCACGCGGGCACACGTCCCTTACTTTCTCGGGAACCCTTTGCCCGAAACTTAGTCACCGCGCCTTTGCTTACAGATTGTAGACCCCTTGAGCGTATCCGCTGTTAGGGAATTAAATCCTCAAGAACAGACCTTCGCAACTTTACTGCGGCGTCCACCTTAGAAATTTGGGGGTTAGCTTCACAAGCGTTTGCTTCTTTGTTTTGCATTGGGGCAGCACTGGGACCTAGGCCAAGAAGCAATTGCAAAGGAGCGTGGTGACCCGGCTGCAATAGATGGCAGGTGCATTATCGTAGTCATGATTTAGTCATTGTGTCTTGCATTTCCACGTTCAAGGCTGTAGTCCAAGCTTAGCAGCATGGTTAGTGCAATTTTTGCTGAGTCGGTCAGCTATTGCGACATCATAGATGGCGTTTCATGTTCCTTCGGATCGCACGTAGGATATCAAAGCTGTGAGCGCAGGCGTCATGCGAGCTGGATCAGAATGCTCAAGCCTTGAGTTTCGCTAATGAGCTTTTGAGGGTTTCCTCATGTATCTCTCCGCTTGTTATTTAACACATCTCCGGTCCGAAGTCTGTTCGTCTTGGCAATGTTGAGAGCGCTAGACTTGATCCCCACAAAATCCCTGTCGGGAGTCGTGAGAGGTCCCATTAGCATCACGCATTTTTGACCACGTCCGGCAAACGCTTGTTGGCCTGGCATCTCAGGACTCTACAAAAGCCCGCTCCGGCCAAAGGCGAACATCGCCCTCAGTGAGAGAGAAAAAAAATGCCTCGTGAAGGACTGTCGGCTTTGCGTGGTGGGACTGCAGAGTTTCAGCAGAGTTTGAGCACAGACCACTTCAGTCAAGGCAATACCTCTATCCCCGTCCCGAACATCGTGCCTTAGCCTGTGGCTCGGCTTTCTGAGCGCCTTTCTCTTGCCGCCTTTCTTGCGCCTTTTTCTGAACTCGAATAAGGTTGGCGCTTATTTCGGAACGTCACTGACTCAATTCGGCCTTTGCAAGATCCTGAAACTGCAGAGTTCAGAGTCGCAGCGCTTTCGCCTCCAGAAGGTTCGATCCCCTGCACGAGAATCACTTCCGTTTGGTCCTTTGTGTCTTCGACTTAGTAACTTAGTAGTCACAGAATGCAAAATCTCGCCTGCGCCCACGGCGCTAGCAATGTCTTTGTCAGGCGTTGAGACGATGTGGAGCCCGACGCGTGGTGTCCTGTCCTCGGGTCATCGCCTGAAATAAACTGGCTGAGACCTTGAGCCAAGCTTGTTCTTCAAAGCTAACGAGGACTGCTTAGGCAGCATTGGCAGGTAGTATTGCAGGGTATATGACACAGAACCTCGACCCAAAAGCTCGTGTTGCGATATGTTGCGATGTTGGTCCATGGGAATAATGAATCGGGCTCTGATAGTCTGATAGCACTTCAACCCAATGCCCAACACCTCGGGAAATTTTGGCGTGTGAATTTCATTCTTGTCACCCCTTCATGACTGTTACCCATAAACCTTGTCATTTTGTGTTGGGGCTGCGAAGTTGCCAGAAAGTAGGTGTAGTCTTCCCGATGTTTTTTGGCCAGGCAGAGAATCTTTGTTGCCTCCCACCTTGTTAAGGCAAAAGTGTCAGTGCACATTACTCTTGACTCAGTCCTTGCCCGCCATGTGGATATGGCAACGGAAGAAGGAGCATTGTCTCTAAGATGCTCAAAGAAGCTGCAATCAGAGAGAACATGAGGAACATCAGCACACTCAGCCTTGCAATAGGGGCATTCGGCAGAGTTTCTCTTACCCACAAGAAAGAGGCGATAGCAAGAACACAATCCATCTACTTACCTGGCTACTGTGTATGACAAGACTGGAGCGCGATCATGTGTGCCCGACATGATGAAAGCCTCGAGTTAAAAGTCAGGTGCATGGACGAGTTCGTGTTTGTTCTGAAGCTGTCACAGCTGAGGCTTGTACCAAATCAAGGAAGTCCTGCACTAAATGTTCAAGATAACTTTGTCCAGGCAAATGTGGGGTCTCCACAGAACTGGAGACATGTAAGGCAATCCCTACAAGCCAAGCTGCTCACCGCTTGCAGAACGCATTCGCTGCATCGAGGCTGCGCGGATAAAGTGCTGAGATGATTTGGACCAAGTTTTGCCACTCCGCAGGAGCGGTTGAAGGCAGCGGAAGCTGTGCATGACATCGAACCAGGACGTGATAGCTGGCCATGAGCTGCTCATGTCCATCATGGGTCATGCTTGTTGTTGAGGAGAGATTCGGGTAAGAGCGGAAGCTGGCGCAAACAATTGGCCTCAGCGTTGCTTGGCTGACAGGCTGCTTCGGCCGTTTTGCAACGGCTTATATGTCCACGCATCAACCTGGTCTGACTGGATCTACCACCCACTCCTCATCATGAGGTGAGAAGGTGGCGCAGCTTCTGGAGCTCCACGAGCTGGCAGACAGCAGAGCTTGAGACCTAGCTTTGCAAGTCTGGGAGTGCCTTCCATAAGATCCGCCAAGCCAAGGCCACCGCAAGAGTCGCTCTGCTGCTGGGAGAGGTTGCTTCAAGTTCAAGGAGGCTACATGAATTCGGTTTATCTGGCCAGCCTTCAGGACTCCTTTGCGAAGTCATTGGCCGAGGCGCCTTCAGCCTTGTAGTCATGTGATTGGCTCTTGCAGGATTGCAGGCAAGAGAGGGTCTTCTCTTTCAGCGAGGCCACGGGCAAGCACCGAAACTCGGGGATTTTCCAGCTGCAAACGAAGCCACGACGGATCATCGTGCCTTGTTAGCAAATGCACAATCTGCAGAGTATGAGCATGGTTTTCGAGTCATAGCCACATGCCATGGCATCATCTTCAGGTTTTCCCACGAGCCCAAGAGGACGCTGCTATCCTTCGGATAGTGCCAGAAAAGCTGAGGGGCTGGGTTCAGGTGCCTTCAGCAGACGGCACAAGGACCAGACTTGCAAGACCAATGTGGCTGTGCAAGGTCGCCCCCTACCGAGACCTGGTGGAAGGATTGAGTTCTTCGCACCTCTGGCAGCTGTTGATAAGACTGAGTGAAGCTTTGAGCTAGTTGGGGCCTTTCCTCCTACATTCCGACGCGATGGGCCTCAGACAGGAAATTAATAATTAATGGTTGAGAATTGAGAAGCCATGTGAAGCCTCCTGTGCCGCATCAAGGGCAACAACTCCTACGGTATACGCCCTTGCAGAGAATATGAGCAGCACGGATGGCAAGCATGATACATGTCAAAAGGTTAAGTGATAATGGCGGTTCCCCGTTCAACTGTTGGCGCAAGTCTTGTCAGCTAAGTTTTGACTGACAGGCAGATCCGCGGCTGGATAAAGTCTGGTGGCAAGGCATGTGCGACACAGAGGCACGCGGAATCGCTCATCCCTTGCTTTGCATGTGCCAGGTCCCTCCCAGCACGGTGCATCCCGTGATTTGGAATCGCCTGCTTCAGGTCGAACTAGACTGCAGAAAGTGCATGTTGTTGGCATGTTGTCTGACCGCAGCAAGACAGACCTGCTTGTATGGAGGCAACGTACAGCTGGGACAACGAGGACAGCTCATCCATCACTTCACAAGCCAAGAGGCAGTGTGAGGCATGCGAGGCTGTTCCCGTCGCTTACAGCCAAAATGCTCTGCGCAATTGCCCTGTGACCAGTTCTGCAGCAGCGTGATCAGTGATGACTCTGCTGTGCTTCCCGTTGCAGTATTTGTGTGCCACGTACGCTGTGCAAGCAGGCCTCAGGAGCAAACGCAGGGGCGCTGAATTCTTTCTTTTTCCGGGGGTACACACAAGAGGGCGGCCCAAAGCTGGACAACCAAATGAACCATGAACCCCGGACAAGGTTCGTCCAAGGTCCCTGGCCTTCGTCCAACCCTCATCCCTTCGGCTTTGGCCCCTTCATCCAGGGTTGATTGAGGTTGCAGTTTGTTCGTCCTAGTCACCTCCCTTCAAGGTTCGTTTTCACAAGGTTCGTCCAAGGTTTGTTGGTGGTGAACCCATCAGGACCCCCGTCTGTTTGCCCCATATCTTTCTTTGAACGGCCACCGCATGTGTCTTGGTCAAGGCCTTGTTGGAAGTCCGCGAAAACCTGGAAGCCGTTTGGGGACATATGCTGCAAACTGGGAACTCATAGGTACGTATTCCCAATCCGCGCTTAATTAAGGATGTTGTGACATTTTGCTGCACGTTTCGTTCATATATACCACTCCATACCTCCTTAGACATCGTGTCAGACTCGTCTCCGCGCCGGTAGCCGGTAGCTTATCCAAGCAAGGTTTGTCGAAAGGAAGAAAGCAACATCGAAGACTTTCTGCAGCACTTTGGCGTGTATGTGAAGCGCGGTGTGTTTTTATCCAAGTCTAAGGTTATGAGGGGACCAACACGAAGATTTGGAAACAGCATTTTGGGTTGGAAAACGGTGAGGTTGAAATTTCAGGAAAAAAACATTCTGGTACTAAAGTTGTACTACCAGAGAACAAAAACCCCTCCGGTTGCCGGAGACGGCCTTTCCAGTGCCAAAGTTGTATTACCAGAGAACGAAAACCCATCCGGTTGCCGGAGACGGCCGTTCCACTACTAAAGTTGTACTACCAGAGAAGGAAATTCGATCCGCTCGACGGAGACGGGCCATTCAAGTACTAAAGTTGTACTACCAAGGATTGAAAATCCATTTGGTTGCCGGAGACGGCCGTTCCAGGACCAAAGTTGTACTGACAAATAGAGAAACACGGCCCACCGCCAAAGCGTGCAAAAGCGACAGGCCACTCACCAAAATCCAACGTACAAGGCCCACACTGGTAATTTTAGACCGTACCTCATGTTCGCAACCTGCCGAGAGCTCGACGCTGCCGGACGCGACCCATCTGATCTCATGATGGCAGGAAGTACCAGAGCCTAATGCAGCCAGATACCAGGAAAGGCTCGAAGCATGGCATCCAACTTGCAGCCAGTTTCTACATATCACATCAGGAAAGCTTGAACTGGAACAGGCCAGTGTGAAGCATGGCAAAGAGTTTATGATGAACAGGTGTTCATCACGTGCAGGTTTCATGGGGCCTTAAAGTGCCAAAAGACTGCTCCAACCACATGCGCGCAGGCCATCGCGTAAGGTGTAAGGAGCAAACTTATCGGAACACCCCTGCACAATTTCAGGGATCATCCTTTGAAGCACAACACGAGAACGCTTGCAGTCATTCCTGCGACCGGCCACCATGGAAAGAAGCCATAGCCGGATTGTGAACATCTTCATGACTGTGTTCGTAACTTGCAGGCGCGTTTACGGAGGGGTTCTCATTTGTGGCAATGGTGCTGGGAATAGCATTGCTACTGTCTTGTAACTTGCAAGCGCGTGTACTTGGGGATTCTCATCTATGGCCATAGCGTTATAGATATCTTCCTTGCTGTCTGTGTGACCTGCAAGCACGTGTACTTGGGAATTCCCATCTATGCCAGAGCACTGCGACTATCTCCATGACTTCTTGTTGGTGGCTTGCAAGAGCATCTTGCCCAGCCTCACGCCGAGCTCCCATGGACCTCGCGCAGTGCCATGGAATGGACCAATATTAATTAATGAGAAGTCACATGCCATGCAACGTTTTCTGGTTGCAAAGCCTGCTTTAGAAAGCTCATGCACACGGCGATTCGCAGTTTCTCGGACTGCACACGGCTGGCATAGCGTTGCGCCCTGCGGAAATCCCGCGTGAGCACGGGATGGTGCGGCTACTCCCAGCTTGGAGTGACCTAACCCCACCGCTGGTACGAGCGGTCATCGGCAATAGTACTTCAATGGTAGTGCTTAATCACACACACATTGACATGCCGTCGTCATTCTCATGCTTCTTGCTGTCCTTATCGCGAATGATTCTCAAGATGTTGCGAGGATCAGGGGAGTGGATCAAGCCAAGTGAAGCCTTGCCAAAAAACAAGCCAATACATGCCAACCCAACACTCTTTCAAGGCAGGCTTTTCAGGCCAGATGGGCGAACAACGAGACAACAAGAAAGTAGCACCGCAACGCAGAAAGGCTGTGGCTGGAATGCAAATACCTCCAGGGGCAGGTTAGCAGCTGGCACGTGCCGGGATCGCAAACGTTGCGTCTGTCCAGCTGGTGGTCCCAGTCGCAGAGACAGACGCGCGGGAAATCGGTAAGAACGTGCAAGAAGGCTTGCCTCATTGGCGTGGCTCAACAGGAAAGCAAAGCTTAAGAAGAGGGTTGCAGCGGACTGGTGGAAGTCCAATCCACCTTGTGAACAAGAGTTCCTACACATAGGAAGGAAGAAGAAGGGGTGACTTCTTGAGCAGCCATGAGTGGTGACATGACCGGTGGCCTGCACAATGTCTTCAAGCACACGGGCCTGCAGGACGACAATGCCGCCTTGAGCGACGACCTGGAAGAGGCCTTATGAGTGCGCTAGTGACACTGTCAGGAACTTGCTGCGATTATTTCACTGGCAGGCACCTTCTGCGGGAGGCAGCCAGGGGCTCTTGGGGCTTTGAGCTGCCCGAGACACTCAATTAGACGGTTGCAGCAAGCAGAATCTGGCAGGATTTTTTCATCTGTTTTAGATGCTTGCAGGGGCCACAAGTTCCACAGTAACTTTATTCCGCCAAGAGGCGGCACAGCAGGAAATAAAGCCCTTCAGCGAGCTATCCATGCATGATGCCCAAAACTAGCGCGCAGCATGCTAGCTTGGTCAACAGTGGCCAGGCACATGCCAAGACCCTCGCGAGCACTATGACACACTGGCTCCACAGCGCACAGCCTCAGGAAGGGAGCAATCAGGAGATGTTGAGGGTTAAGGGGTTTAGGGTTTAGGGTTCTGAGAGGGGACCATGCATGTTTGGACCCCTCCCTATCCCTATAAACCCTATGCCCTATGCAACCCTAGATCCCAGGAGTCCCTAAGGGTAGCATAGTCTTTGACAAGCCTCCAATCTGCAATTGATGAAAAATATAGGGGCCGAAGGACTCCTAAGTTTCCTGTGCATTGCAGCATGCTTGGGGCCTTACCACTGGGATCTAGATAGTCTAAAGCGGCTTTATGTATAAAGTGTAGGGAGCAATGTGGGTGTTAGTATTGTCTCTAGGATTAGATCCCCAGGATTAGAAGGCAGGGCTTACGCCTTACGAACTCGAAGTGGCCGGGTGCTATGCTTGCCTTGGGGTAGGTAGAAAGTGGGATTGAGCATGAGGAAGGGCTGAAGTGTTCATTGTCTGTTCCTTCCACACGTGATCTTCCCCAGGCAGCGACTCAACTAGTCAGTTCGGATGCAACAGTCTCGAAATCTTCCGGGTCACACAGGCTTCGATGCGCGTTTTGTTCAGCGCATCGGGCTCTGAGCGTCCTTGTTCAACATTACAATGCTAGAAGCTCCATGTAAATCGTAGCTTTTGGTTTCCTTCTGGCCCTAACATTGCTCCAGATACGGTAAGCTCGGAAACCTAAATGACTTGGTAGTGTAGTTTCCGTCTTTTTTTCCTAAGGTCAGAAGTATAGGCCCCTAATATCGGCCCTTAGGCCTTTTAGGGGGATTCTAGAGACTCTAGGGACCCTGAAGATCCGCAGATATCCCGATCATGCACTCTCAGGTCCATGGAGCAAAGGCTGCAATCGCCTACCGTGCGCTTGAGGAATTTCAACTCCTTTGCAAAGGCGGAAGGGTTTCTTTCGCGTGAGTTTACAGGAAGGTAGCTTCATTTGGCGCCGCCCTAACCACTCAACAAGCCACAGAGCAAATGAGTCTTCGGCAGGCCAGTCTCCTGGAACAATTTCTCAACAAGGTGCTTTCCGAGGCCTCGAAGGCTTTCCATTTCCATCAAGTTTGTTGGTCTCACCTGTATCAGAGAAGGTTGATGGAGAGCACCCGGAGATATCTGTTCTGGATTTGGGCTGCGGCAGCTCTGCTGCAAATGGCAGATTCAACCACTCTTCGGCTTCGGGCTTCTAATCCTGCCCCGTTTTGGTCATTGCAGCTCATAAGGCAAAGGGGGAGACCTCAAGAAGCTCATCAACTCTGGTCGCTGCACTCAGAACAGAACTGTGTGCCTGCGGGCGTAACTGCCTTTCTTCCCTTTGTGTTTGTTTCCTCCCGGATTTTAGGCTTATATACTGTTTCGGCACTGGCTGGTCCTTCAAGGCTGCAGCAAGAGGAGGATGAGCAGGAGCAGGAGCAGGGCTAGCAACTACGATGACAGCAATACTTAAGGCCATCTTAATGCTGCGCCTGCTTTATTGAGGGACCCATTTAATGTGTCTTGGTGGCCGCTCAAAGACTTTCAAGCCAATGTTTGGACACTGTGGCATGCCTTGTTCTGAAATCCGCGCATCATTTGGGGAGGGTTACGAAGATGCCAATTTCAACTGTCCCCAAATTGGGGAAGAAAGGCAGAAAAAAGTGGAGGAGGAGGGGCTTCCCCACAAATCAAAGCCGGTGCCACGTGACAAGGGATGCAGCAGCGGCATCAGTGCGATTCTCTCCCAGAAATCCAAGAATATCGGCCCCAAGTCAACCTAGTCACCAGCATCACTCAATAAACTCATATTAGAGAAGCCCTATCAGTGCCAGCCAGCTCATGACAAAGCCATCAGAACAGCCCAAAACGCCTTCATCAGCCCTTCATGAAACCCTCAGGCACCCTTCAAAGCCTACAGGGTGGTGCGCATTGGCAGCGCAAAGGTCTCCGGAGTGGGAATTGGAGGGCCAGCATCATCAGCATCATTGGGATCGATTCCGCAGTTTTAACGCTACCCCCTGGCGTCTTTTGAAATTTCAATTTGTAGACCCCAGACTGGCCTTGAAGTAGTTTACCACCCGATGTAGTGCACTCATGGTCCTGACTGAGGGGTTCTGGGATGTCATGTCGACAGCTTCGTCAGAAATCTACCGAGCCCCGGCCCACGGCCTTCATGTCTCAATAGCCTGTGTTTTGGAATTTAACAGACGAGTGGTTGTTGCCCGTGACGTTCCAAGGTCTTCCCAAAGAAGTCGAGGCGGCAAATGTAAACTTCAGACGGATCCCAAGCCCAGGTGTGACGGCATACTGCGGTGTGGACATCTCGCGCAGCTCCTTAGAGGCACCGCTGGACTCGATAAGAGGGTGGCTGGCGTGAAGCAAAGAATACGGCAAATGGTTGATGCTTCACTGCTTCGAGAACATGTTGCCACTACTGTTAGCAGCAGCACCTCACGTTAGGACCAAGCACACGCATGGCTCTGGCCTCTACTTCCAGAGCACGATTACCTCTTGCAAGCCCTGTTGAAGACTTGGGTATGACTATGATGCTAGCTTGAGCCAGGTTCTCATCCGGCGCGTGCAGGAATTGAAAGAGAAGCTTTCGAGAGCAAGGCTGCTCTTTCAGCATGTTCAGCTTTCAGCGTGTCTCCACTGGTTGCAAGTTTCAACCGAGCATGACCTGGCTTTCAATTCCTCTTTGGCAGCAGCTGCTGAACTCGGCATGCCCACGCTCAGGTCAGGACATGTCAGGATAGCAACCTAGCAACTCTTCAAGGCTCCCAAAAATGTGTTTTTGCAAAATCCCAACCATAGTGCTTGAGTCATGGGTCAACACCTCTTTATTTCCAGGCACGGGGCTTTGGGCCGTACCCGCGAGTCCCCGCTTCGCGAGGACTCTTGCCTGCAATCCGTCCTCAGGACATTTCACAAAATTTCAGAGCGATGCTGGTCAGAGCGTTGATCAGTTAATCCTGGTACATCAGGCAAGAGGCTTCATGCTTGCCGGAGAAGTCCTAGAGCCAGCACTTTCAGAAGAGACAGATTCTGCATCCGTCAAGAGAAGGCATCGTGGGATCATTGCCAAGAAACGTCATTGTAAACCGCATGCCTGTCTAAGGCAGACTCTTCGGAGCTGTTTCCAGCAAGCGTATTGGGTTCTAGAGGGAGCTGTGAGCTGTGCGTGATAAGGTAGCTGCACTAATGGAATCGACCCTTCTCTCAACGCATGCAGAGGGACTTGCGCTCGCATCTAGGAATCAAGTATAGACTTGCCACACGCCGGGAAGGCCCGCAAGCCTGCACTGGTAGAAGGCCCGCAAGGTCACCCAATCCCTACACTAGCCCGGAACGAATAGCGCCTACTCCAGAGCCGCGTGCCTAAACTGGCTACGCAAGTGGCAAAAAACCTGGCACTAGCGCCGACCATTCACCTGTGCGCTCCAGCCGCACAAACCGAGGGCCTTGCCTGAGCGTGATGACGACACAATGAGAGTACAAGCTGCACTTAGGCACTTATGAGCGTAGCTCCTTCTAACCCAACCATAAACCCTGGACCACTCAGGGCGCGATGATTTTTTAAAGGCTCCCTGAGGCATCCCTGGCATTCCGGGCCCTCCGGCCACGGCAGGATTCCTCTAGAACCCCACAACCCTGGTAGAAATTCATAGGCTTCGCTTCAAGCACGCCTGACGACTTGTAATTTTTCATATGGTTTTATAAAGGATTGTATACACAAGAACTGAATACGACTTTAAATGATTTTAATACAGTTTTAGCCGTATTTAACTAAATCTCAATTGAATTTCAATTGATTCTAACGGGATGTTAATTCGATTTTAATTGATTCTAAAAGGAATCTTAATTAAATTTCAATTGATTCAAACGGGATGTTAATTCGATTTTAATTGAATTTAAAAAGGAATTCTAATTAAAATTCAATTGATTCTAACAGGATTTTAATTCGATTCTAATTGATTTTAAAAGGAATGTTAATTAAATTTCAATTGATTCTAACAGGATTTTAATTCGATTCTAATTGATGTTACAAGGAATGTTGATTAAATTTCAATTGATTCTAACAGGATTTTAATTCGATTCTAATTGATTTTAAAAGGAATCTTAACTAGATTTCAATTGATTCTAACGGGATTTTAATTCGATTTTTAATTGATTTTAAAAGGAATTCTAATTAAATGTCAATTGATTCTAACGGGATTTTAATTCGATTTTTCATCGAATTTAAAAGGATTCTAAAGGCGGCCCTACTAAATCCTTTCAATAAATACGCCTCCTAATAATAAATCATTTCTGACCTCCCGGATTATTTATTATTACGGGGGGGAGGGGGGACGTCGTTTATTATTAGGGGGAAGCAATTA